TCCTGAGGCAGGCCAGGGCGATCAGTTACATAACCCTCACAGAACTACTCTTGGCCATCTTCTGTGCCGCGCTCGCAACAGTTGGGCGAGCAACGTAAATGAAGGCTTAGAATGGAGGCAATATGGCTTATAAAGGCTATATGAAATAAAGCCTTGCATCGATATCTGAGGTGTGCTTTACACAGGAGCACTGGTTCAAACCTGAGGGGTGTTTCAAAGTGTTCCGTCATATCCTGGTACGTAGTTTGGAAAAGCCGAACAGATTATTCTCCAATCCTCTTCCTTTCCCACCGAGAGAAAAGGTATTATGCCTCAAACCTGGAAGACAGGAGGTGGGAAAGACAACTGGGAGAGAGTACAGAAGATCGGCAGCTGACACTTTCTCCAGCATGCCTGCGCTGTCCACTGACATTCTAACTGTGGCTCCCTCCAGAGGGGTCTGAGAGAGGGCTGGCTCATTGCTGGGAGGCACGTTATCCCATGGCTGGAATGCTCAGCCCCCTTGTAGTACCACACTAGGAGGCACGCGGTTCGGGAGCCCAGAGCAGCAATGTGTTGTCCCAGCATGTCTTGGTCAGAAACATCAAGCACATAAATCACAGGGTTTAAAGGAACATAGCAATTATTTTTTACTACATTGCTAAAAAAGTATTTCCAGAACATTTTTGTATTGTAGGTTTTAGATGGTTTTAAACAAAAGTTGGAGTGATTTTAATTTTAATATTTTATGAAAATACTTTGTATGCTGTTTTTTCTTGATATTGTATTTTTACCACAATAAACTATTAAAAAATCATCCATTTTACATTTTATCTGCAACACACAGTCCCTGTAATAACTAAGTCTGTGTGTGGACACACATGTATTCATTTACACATAGATGTGTGTAGACTGTATGTATCATTCAGTTTTTTGCTATTTATCCCACCCCTTTTCTCTTGAAAAAACGTAACCATCCCACCTTTTCTGGTTAAAAATACACGTTGTTCATATTTCTGTTAACACGCATGCATACATGTTATAGTCTAGCACTGATCACTACCTTTATCCTCTTCCTGACATCCCAGCCAAGTCCTGAAGTCTGATATGAGCCCGTATGTCTGATACCAGCCTGTAAAGTCCTCTTCAGACTCATGAAACACAGTATTCAACTGCTCTTGCATACAAAGCTCTCTCTCCTACACACGGGTGTCTATGACTTTGTTTCTCGTTAGGAAAACAGAGCAAGCCTTGGCAGTTGCATGGTGCTGGCTCACACACAAACGACTCTGGGCTTTTCTTCTATTCCCACTCATGAGCTCAGATCTCTTACTTTTATTTCCTAAGCTTCTGTTGTACTACCTGCAAGACGCTTTTAAAATAATCAGATTGTGGCATTGCATCAGTGAAGTCTGTTGAGCTCCTCAAGGGAGAGATGGATGAAAATTGTGTTTATTTTGCCTAGTTCCAAAAACGATTTAAGGGGACTGAGAGCTTAAGCTTCCTAATAGCACCAGCAGAAGTACAGAGGGACGGGCATGTTGTGGAAGAGCCCGGCCTCGGAAACCCTGCTCTGCAACAAACTCGCTCGTTGAGTGTGGAGCGAGACTCCTATCACAGCGTAAATGTTCTCTGAGCGCAGATGGAAATCTTCTGGGAAGAGGGCCATAGTTTGCTTCAGATGCTCAGTAAACTACATACCATGTTACAGTTACCTATCGTAACCTCTGTACCATAGTCTTCTAATAATTTGAGAAACGCCCGACTTTCAATGAATTTACTCTATGGATGTTGAAAGAGGCAGTACTTTCTAATCATGTTTTGAAAAAGTTATCCTTAAAAAAAAATTACGTCTCACACACACACAAAAGAAAACCACCTCCCCTTTCAAATCACTAAAACGACCATATTATTACAGAAATGTCACTAAAACACACTGACAGTGTTATCACAATGGCATTTATTCAACAACTATTTGAACGTCTACTATGTGCTAAATGCAGGGAGTACAGACAGAAAAAACACCCTGCTACTAGGGTTGTAAGTGCTACGTACACACTCTCAGTAACTGCGGGGGTGCAGGGGGGAGTCCAGCGCTCATGAAACCAGAGTTCTTTTGTTTTAAAGGACGGAAGCAGCAGAGGTGTGTTTACCAGCAGGAGAGAGAAACTGAACACGAACTGTTCTCTTGCAGACTGAAAATCCAGGAATCTGTAAGCTGTTCAGGAAGACCTCATCAGAATGTAACTTGTAACCAATTGACTGGGAAAGCAGTGATAAGTTCATCTTAATAAATGCTATGCAATGTGCCTCGTTTCTATGAAAAAAACCCAGCTCAGCAGCCAGTTAAGGAATACGAGAAAGAAAGCATGCCAGGGTTAGGGCATTTTTAAATTGAATTCTGTTGCCACCTCAAGAGGGACGCTTCTTTTCCTGGGAGCAACCTGTTGTTGCGAAGGGCCATCCAGGTGGTTCCAAATCACCGTGACTCCATGTCCGACAGAACGAAATATGTCTGGTCCTGTGTCGTGCTCGTCATTTTGTTCATGTTACAGCCATGAGTCAATCCATCTTGTCAGAAGCTTTCTTTTCTCAAACATGATGGGAGTAACATGAAACAGAATATTGCTACTACGCAGCTGATGTTATAAACTGGTAGAAAAGAGAACTGCCAGACTGCGGTGTCCACCTACAAAGTAGTGGGCCCCGTTCAGTGGTAAAAATCTCAGGTCCCTTTAAATATATTAAGTCATCATGAACCGTGTCATGTTGATAGCATGCTAGCAAAATTCCTGTTAAGGACCTATTTTTGTGTTGTTAGAAAAGACTTAAGTTGATAATTACAGTGACTCTAAGACTCCTACCAAGAACATTTTTATTTTTGCTGGAATGCCCTAAAGAACATTATTGTATCAATTTTATAATAAAATGGAATGAGGAACTGTAAACCAAATAAAGACCGCATTCATTGCCTTTGAGGCACAAGCAACAATTAAGAGAAATTATAGAAAAGAAAAAGATAATTAAGATGATAACTTGAAACAGGAGGAATCTGAATACATATGAAAAAGATGTGACGAGATCTCATTCATTTTACTATGCTGCAAATGTTTTGGCTAGTCTCTTTAAAAGATGAACAAATCTTTGAACATTCAAAGCCAAACAAAAAATAAAAACAGATAATGCCTTGCAATTTGGGCCTGTTGCAATAAAAGGGGTGATTGCAGCACACAATAAAGCCAGGAAGGGACTTTCATATAGGCTATTCCTCCTCTCCATTCATTAACTCAATAATGGGTGAGGAGGGCCTGGCAAGCCTTCAAACGTCTGTCCTTGTCCGGGTGCCTGAGCTCTTCAAAGCAGCGGTGCAGGTTTCGTGGTCTTTCAAACGGTCTTGGCAGGATCTCTTCCAGCTCACATCTTCCCTTCCTTGCCACCTCCTGCTGTCTGTCCTGGTTGCTTCCCTTTATTCATGGCACACTTTGGCACCTGTTTTCCTCTCCATTCCATCTCCCACCATTTTCCCGGACAGGGGTAACCTCCATTCATCTAATCCATTTGCCCTCTCAGGTTCCTTGATATTTTGGCTCCAGTAAGCTTTACTTTTTTTCAGCCATTGCATTTTACTGGTAATGCCATGAACTTGCTCCTCTCAGATCAATAATCCAAGCATTCTGGTCTAAGTACTGATTTCTATCTTCCAAATTTCTATGCAACGGTCTTGAGTCTTCCCATCTATTGGACAGCCTTCTGCTTCCTTCACTTCCCTTCTTTGTCAGCTAAACTGTGCACATCGTTATTTCAGTAACTTTGCCTAAATATACGAGACTGAACTCTCTTGCCTGTTCCTCTATGAAACTTATCCCACCTCGTATAAGAACCCAAGTATATTACTTTCCATTGACTGTGCCATACCCAAGCAGCAGGGTGTTACTGAGAAGAAAAATCACTAGAGGCAACAATTCACCAGCTGGGTCAACACTGTCCAATAGTCTGGTCAACGGATGCTCCACGGGCATTACTTTCAACCCCGCTCCCTTTTGAGTTCACAGGGAAAATAGGGCTGTACCCGCTCCCGCCAACCCCTCCACCAGCACGCTGGAAGCCAGTCTCAACACCCTTTCAGGGGCCCTCTCATCTCTGGCCTGTGGCGGGTGTTTTCCTTTCAGAGAAAGGGCAGTAGCTGGAAGAGCAAAGGAAGAGGCATCCTTGTGCCATCCTCTCCCCACGTTCGGCCGAAACTCAAAATCCTTGTGTCAGATAGTTTTCCCTGACATCAACCGCCTGTACTTCTTGGAAAGAAAGCACTGTCACCAGGACCATGTTTCCCTGTGGCTAAATCTACTTGCCTTCTCAGCAAAGTTCAACACCTGGGCTGACAAAAGCCCTTCCGCCCCACAACTCCCAGCCTCCTGCTTCTCCTTTCCTCTTTGGTCACCAACTATTGTCCCCTTTGCTACTTGGCCATCAAATGTTAGCTGTCCGCATGATTTTGTCCTAGGTCCACAGCAAGAATCTGCACCCTTTTCCTGTAAACTGGACAACTAAGTATCATGGCCTTTTGTGGGCTGTAAAATCTCCGCTGTGACTACTCAATATTGCCATAGGAGCATGAGTGGCATGGCTGTGCTCCCATAAAACTTTATTTACAAAATCAGATGATGGGCTGGATTTGGCTTAAGGCCCATGGTCTACTGACCCCTGCTCTGTAGTCTCTAGCAAAGTAGCCTGTTCTGTAGCTCAAAGGACACCCCCATTCCCCGTCAAATTCCCACCTTTCAGACCTGTATTTCCAACAAACTACTTACCATCTTCATTTACAAGCTTCTTAACCTTCATGTTGACTCATGCTCTTTCCCCGAGATCTAGGCTCCCCCCCCCAAGTTCTCACCCCTAGTACGTGCACAGAGCAGAAAATAGGGGTCCTTCCTCCTATTTCCCATCCTTCAGTTCTTTGAACGGGAAGAAAGCCTGAAAGAAGGTAGGGCTGAAAATTTCATTACTTGAAGCACACAGTCAAATTTAATGTTTCACTAATCCAGCTATACTTTATTTTCATGTTTATTACATGTTTACCTTTGATTTTGAGTACACATTAGAATTGGTTTGACATACGACTTGGGAGAAAACTAATGTTCTCCTCTGAATGGATTAAAAAAGGAATGTAAAACTACAAAATATTTAAGTGTGAGTTTTAAATTATGGTACCAACCAACAATAAATAGCCTGTCATTTCCTCCTAATTTTCCAAGATGCATTTCATTATAAAAGTTTAATAGTTTATGAAATTAAATATGATAAAAGCCATTTTTAAGTAGAGAGAACACATCGTTTGAGTCTTTGACAAAAAAACTATTAAAAACAAAAATACTTTGTTATGAATTGAGGGGGTAAATCAATATGTCAACTATAAATCTAATGACTTAAGCAAACCATACATGGTATTTGCATTTGCTTGGGAGAGTTTGGTTAATTTAAAGTTTCTATTTGACACATCCAGGTTAAATATTTGGTGCTCAGTACTGGGGGTGCTTACCATTAGCCTGGTGGCAGGCATTCAGGATAAATCGGTACCACGTGGCCTAAGAGCATTTAATCACGCCACCTCCTACCCCAATCTACAGACATGCACAAATGTGCAACTTTCATCATCCACTAAAGTTTCAAAGTATAACTCCTCCAAATATTCTGAACCTCCTGAAATTCACAGAATGTAAATAATCTCTGTAGTGTAATTCTAATGTTTAACAATACAAAATCATGGATGGCTATCAAAATTGTTATAGGTAATAAATATAGTTTCTTTTAATTCTCTATGACAAACCCCTTAGCACATTGTGAATGTGTTCTTAATACTACTAATTTTTACTTAAATACATTAAAAAAAATCATCTTCAAATATTCATGTCCAAGGATTACAGGGTGAATACTCACTGAGCATGAATGCCGACTGTTCTCACTAGACACAAAATTCTCATCATTTGCAAAAACTTCTATTCTACTGCCTCTTATAAAAGATAATTTAATAAAGATAATTTACCTCTAAGTTATACTAGTGATAGAATATTTCCTCATAATCGTTTAAGACAAATCACTTGTGGCTTTTCAATTTTTAATTTAATGTTATGTTTTTAATAAAGCTTTTCTAAATCAATTTACCAATTAAATTCCTAAATGAGAAAAGGGTAGGAGCAAGGAAAATTCCTTATCAATTTAGTCCGCTCTTCCTTGTAAACCAACATTACATTTCATTCAAGGCACACTCCTTTCTAAAGAAGCAACCCCCAAGCCCACTTCTCATCAATGTCTCTAACAACCCTCTACAGGGTTCCAGAGGTGCAGAAGAGCTTTATTTTCCTAACTTGCAGCAGCTGATAGACTTCGATCGCCGTGTGGTCAGCGGTCCCAACACTTAAGTCAGCAAACTTCTATCAAGGGCCAGGTATATAAGGCTTTGTGGGCCATATAATTTCTGAATTGGATTTTAATGTTGTGTTATAATGGACAGCACTCACAGGCAATGCACATTTACAAAACAGGCACTAGTCTGATTTGGCTTGTGGGTTAGTTTGTCAAGCCCTGCCTTAGAAGACCTACTGGGAATCAAAAAAGAAATGTCCTGGGGAAGAAAGTGTCTAATCAGAGGTGGTAGGTGGCAGTCAAACACTTTAGATATTCTGACGCTGACTTTATCTGACTTTCTGGTTTAAGGTTCTGCTATTGTTACTCATATGTTTCTATGTTTTCCATAGGGTAATTTATCATCATAAAAAAACATTATTTGAGGGAGTCTATTTAGAATTAATAAATGATGCCCATACAATTTAATATTCAATTTAATTTTTTTAAAACTCAATGAAAAATATAACAGAATCAAAACATTTGAAATAAGTACACTCACTAGCAACTCCAGTAATTCATTGAAGTAATATCAACTATAGGATATGAAAAATAAATTCAGAAGTGTAGTTACTTTAAAATACACCACTTCCACTTTTGTTAATATTTTACATTTATGTATATATTCTATAGTGGAAGCAGAAATTCTCTCTAAAAACATTATCTCCTTAAAATCTTGAGGTGCTTATTAGAGCCACTGGCAATATCTGACATATAAAATTGCAGTACAGGCCTTTCAAATTTGGCATTTCACTGGTACAATAACCACGGTATAGAATCAATGTACAGTGCCTAAACATTCCAGTAAGAACCATTATTTTGTTGAATGTAGAATGACTAACACATACTCTACACGGGGCAGTGAGGTTAGTAATTCTATAGGGTGTGTCCTGATATAATTCTCAAATTGTACAAGAACACAAACAACTTTGTTAAGGCCATGTTTTATTTGCTGATTAATGGACAAAAGGCAATGTAATTTATTTTCAAGTATTTTCTTGAAAGTGTGTGCTCATAAAAATCATGAAAAGTTGGAAAGAGTGTTAAATCACTGAAACTTTAAATATATCTTACACAATCTTGTTTGTACAAAAATACAAGTTAAATACAAACATAAAGCAATCATGATAATTTTATGCAAATCTGTTTTATGTGATCTTCATTTATATATAAAAGATTCTTGGTTCTGTTATTTGTGAAAAGATCAATACCAGATTGAATTACTATCTATTGGCAAAGGGCCCTAAAAAGCTTATTTTAGCATTAATCTTTTACATCGTGAAGTGCGTTTCCTAATTTGAGATCACCTAAATACTGGAAAAAAGGAAAAATGAAAGGGCAGTATGTCCATAAACCAACAAATAATTTGGCTGTAATGTATCATAAAACACAAGGCAATCCACATAGCTGTACAATAAACGTTACCTATGTATTACACACACACAGGTGTATATACATGTGTGTGCACATACACACATGTACACACCCATACACACACGCAGCCATAAAACAAAGTCTAATGAGGGGCTGCTTCCAGTTCAATATTCAGGTTTGCATTTTTTCTCACTTCATCAAATGAATAGCTTTTCGTCACTTTCCCATTCTTGAAGACAGTATGAAGAAGATCCTGCAAATACAGTAACAACGAAAGTCAATGATTATACCAGAGACTAATCAGCAACATGCTTAAATTATGCCTTAATGAAGTGATGGTATCTAGTCCGCTACAAAGAGATCTTGATGGTGTTCAAACTATGAAATGACTAAGTACACAGAGTGTGGGAGAGCAGGCCAAGTGCAAGGTATTCTCTAAACACGCAGAATCATTTTACGTTTCAGAAAAAAGTCGCAAACAAGAACAGGTACTGCTTCCTTGGCTAATGGTCTAGAACAGTGCTTCTCAACCTGGGGGTCGAACAACCGACCCTTTCACAGGGGTCTCCCGATTCAGAACAGTAGCAAAATGACAGTGATGAAGTAGCAACGAAAATAATTTCATGGTTGGGGGGGATCACCACAATAGGAGGAACTGTATTAAAGGGTCGCGGCATCAGGGAGCCCAAAGAGGTGGCATTTGAATTGTGGTGCCCAAACAAATCCATCTTAGAAGAAGTACTGCCAGAGTGCTCCTTAGAGTCCAGGGTGACGACTGCGTCCTACATACTTTGGACACACTGCCAGGGAGAGTGCAGTGCTGGAGAAGGACATCGTGCTAGTAAAGCTGAAGGGCAGTGAAAGCGAAGAAGGCCCTCAACAAGATGAGTGGACGCAGTGGCTGCGGCCGTGGGCTCAAGCACAGAACACGGTGAGGGCGGCAGGACTTGAAGTCATCCTCACGCCTCACGCTAAGATGACTTTAGTGGACCTGCGATCAACTAGTCCAACGAAATCTTCATAGCTGCAAGGTTAAGTGAGGAATTACATTGCCAGGCTATATACTGAGATTGAATTGCTTTTTCTAGATTTTATTCATTCTCTTGTTGCTGTGGGAACAAATGTACACAGAACATACATACTCAACAGTTTTGACATGTACAATTCAGGGGCACGGACAGCATTTTTTGAGATGAGCAACCATTCTCAGCCTCCTTTCTGAATTGTTTAAAGAGACTAATTAAAGGACTGATTTAGGAATTTATGTAATTTCCATGAAACAGAAAAGACAAATGTTACTTCTTTCCTTCCAGCACAAAATCTTAAGACAAATATAAACGTGATATTTTAAAAGCAGTGAATTTGGCATGATACAAAGAATCAGTGAAAAATGTGTTTTAGTGTAAGTTATTCTCTAAAAATGAGAATGATTTATGAGTAGTTTCCCTATAGAAATCAGCTTTCAATTTTTCCCCCTTTAAACTGGTAGCTAAAAATAAAAAATTCCTTAACTGTTGAACTGACTAGTGTAATGGTACTTGAATATATTAAAGATCCCAAGAGTGTTTGCATTACTTTAGTATAATATATGTATTTTTCCAGTTTGGCTGACCTGAAACAGAAAACTTGGTTAAGCCTCATTTACGCTATTTATCCACTATTCATTTTTAAATCTAAGTTAAGCCATAGTTTTCACATCTTTAAGGTAGCATAACTTGCCTTTTTTAGAATTGCTGTTATCAAATGAGGCTACAGAGAGTCATGTGAGCTGGATACTGCTTAAAAATGGCATTCTCTTTAAAAGCATCCTAGAATGTGGGTATAGTCATTTCTTCATTAAAATGACAAAACTTAATGCCAACAAAAATGGTAGAATCCTTAAGAATAGCTTTCTTTCTTTCACACATTCTTAACCATTCTTCAAAAAGAATTCACTGCTGACTAGCTACAAAATTAAGATCAACATACCCAAAACTTGTTGAGGGTCATCAATCAATACTAGTCACTGTGTGGAGAAAGCTTTCTAATTAGAAAAAAGTTAACCACACTTACTCGGTCTTCTGGGGGTAAGGTAGGGGTACACCTTACTATTAGTTATATGTACTATACAATGCTACAACTCATTATTTGCTGATATGATTCTCAGATGTTCAATCTTAATGATTTATCAAGATACGGACACTAAAAGGCAATAGTAATAAAAACTAAAAATGGTACTCAATTTACAATAGAACTGACTGACTTACTTACAACAGAGTTGTTGGAACATATTTAGGGTCTTGCAACTTTTGGTTCAGCCTATTTTGGTAGGTCAGGTCAATAAATACACATTTTACAATAAAAATACTTGCCAAGAAAAACTGAAAATAATTAAAAATAAAATGACACAAAAACCCCTAGCAACCCTCTATTCTATTACTATATACATACTTGACCGTATTCTTCAAGGTCTCCTTTTCCTTCTTCAAGGGTAACAAAATTCCCTGCTGGTGTCCTATGTAAAGATAATCGACCTTTTTTGGACCTTTTGTTGGGATCAGCAACTGGATCTTTGAATACATTAATCTGGAATCCAAATTAAGAAAGTCAGAAAAATAGAGAATTGATTATCAGAAAAGTTCACCCTATTCTCACTTTAACGATACATAAATAACATTTAAATACTTTAAATAAAATTTTAAAATTAACTACTTTAATTTAAATTAAAGCAATCTATAATCTGGCTTTTAGAAATGTAACTCTTAAAAAAAAAAAGAAATCTAACTCTAAACCAAAGATGACTATTTGTAGTCCAAAGTCTTTCAGGTTTGTATTAGATGGCCCTTACAGTACTACTTTCTGTATTACAAAGTGGCCCTTAACGGATACTAAGTACACATCACATTCATGTTACTGGGGGTGGGGAAATCTATACTAACACCATGTATCTATGTATACAAGTATTGTATGTAAGTATACAATCTCTCCCACTTCCCAATCTTCCCCTTTTGTTGCTTCTTACTGTATTACTTTGTTACTGTTAGAAGCAAAAAAGACTTAGAAAACTTCCAAACAGTAGAGTATTTGGCTTCAGGTCCCCCAGAGTAGGCAGGAACACATTATGTAGGCAAGTATAGGTAGTCGTGAAATGAAAAGCAGGTAAGCCAGTCCCAGAACTCTCTAAAGGAGTAGTAACCTTCCTAATGCTGAGACCCTTTCATACAGGTCCTCATGTTGTGGTGACCCTCAACCATAAAATTATTTTCCTTGCTACTTTCTAATTCTAAGTTTGCTACTGTTATGAATCGTAATGTAAATATCTGATACGCACAATATATTTTCATTGTTACAAATTGAACATAATTATAGTGATTAATCACAAAAACAGTGTATGATTATAATTCATGCAGTGTCATTTTACCTCCAATACTGCTGCTTTCAACACAGCAGCTGCTCTATACACGTGACTGGTCCGCATAAGTACATTATGACACCAATCCTGTCATATCCACCTGTATTTGTACAGGGTGTATGTGATGGGATTGGTGTGATGACGTCCTCACACCGGGTACTCATTATGTGGGCATATCTGCATGTGGGCAGACCTGCTTGGAGACATATAGAGGAGCAGGGTCTCGGTTCTTAAGACCATCAGAAATGTGTTTACTGATGGTCCTAGGGGACCCACAGGTTGAGAACCGCTGCTCTAAAGAAAAGCATTCTCCAGAGAGGACATTCTTAGCATGCCCCAGCCCCACCCTTCTTTCCACAGGATCCCCAGCTCTTCAGAGCCTAAAGAAGAGTTAGAGGGATTGTTGATGGCTAGGAAAGCTGACATTTCCACTTAAACACAGCCAACATTTTGATCCAAGGGTTGAAGTAAGAGGGGCTTCATAATGTTTGTGGAAAATGGTAAAGAAAGATAATGGAATTCGCCGTCATGTTTTGAAGCTCCTTCATATACTAAAGCAGTGGGAAACAATGGATTTGTATTACATTTCTTAAATAATCTTTCAGCTTAGGTTTCTCCTTTTTCCAATCCTTTTTTTTCTTCCCATAATCAGATCATTACTTAACATCTTTTCTTTCCATGGTTCTCAATCAAGACAATCTCATAAGCAATGTTTTCACAGTCCAGGGCTATATTATGCACATTCAATAGCTACACTCAGCTACATGGAGAAGATATTAACAGAAAAGTTGAAGGACATACCCCAAGGCCGTTGGTCACCACGTAACTACACTTGAAGGAACAATTTAAGAGATCTCTTGTTAACTTTTGTAGCAAAGCTCCGCCAGAACCGAAGAAAACATTCTCAATACTCCACTGTTTTTGTTTCATGCCTTCTACAATCTAGAAGAGTAAAAACAAGCCAAAACCAAAATATAAATTTAATTTGGAAGAGGATGTAATAAATCATTCTAAATTTCTTATGGTAGTCAGTAACTGGAAAAGAATAAACCTAGGCAAAGTTATACTTCATATTTTCCAATTCCCACACATTCCAAGGGAGACTTTAAACTGAGCGATGTGTGTGATAGGGGGAAGCTTCGTTTACATTTCTGATGATACTTATCATCTTTGTTGTAGTTGGTAGGATGAAAGAGAAAGCCTGTAATGATCTACACCACAGGTTAACTGAATCAATTTATCTTAAGTTATTGTCTAGAATATAGGTTCCCAAACTTATTTGCCCCCTTTCAGAAAAAAATATTTTACTCATCACTCCCTTGCAACTAAAAACATTTGTATGTAGCCCGGAAACCTGTCTATAGTGTAGGGACCTGCTTTTGCAGCACCCCTTGGACCATTTGCAGCTCCCATTCCCATCCCTCAGCCAGCAGGGGTGGTATTGCCCACTTTGGGAAACCTGGTTTAGAATATAGTAGCAGAAGAATGGGGACCACACATTTATCACAAATTGCCAGTATCAAAATAGAGATGACTCTCTACTAATAACACTGCATTATGTCATGCTACTATTAAATGTCATATTGTATGCCATATGAATACAGTATAAATACTCTTCCTCTACATATCAGTTGAGCGACTGCTGGAGCCATAAACAAAATTAGACAGAGGCACTAGACTTTTATTCCTGGATCATTATAACAATTTGTTTCTTATCAATGTTTTTTGTATTTCTTTCCCCTAAGTAGGATTCCTTTGCTTAGCATCTGCTTTTGAATACATTTGTTTTAATTTAATCTATTTAATCACCAAGCTTATGTGTACCAATGATACAAATCAAATACCAAAAGTTGCCAATGGGTCTTTTTATTTTCAATATTGGAAAGATAAAAAATACACCCCCTGTGAAGCACATTCACCTTTTAACAACCTAATATTTAGAAAACTTCCTTTCACAATCCTAACCATTTATTACTCCTGTTATGTGTACCGTATATACTCGAGGATAACCCAACCCGAGTATCACCTTAGGCACTTAATTTTTTTACCACAAAAACTGTATTAAAAATGTGTTGAAAAACTTGGCGCATACTCGAGTATATATGGTACTTCTTTACTAGAAGAATCAGGATGAAAATATAATTTTAAAAGTGATTCCTTAGGTTGTACATGTATTGATTCATCCCTGTTCTATTATACCAGCACCCAAAGGTACCCAAAACAAAAACAAAGCCAATCCCACTGCCACTGAGTCAATTTCAACTTCAATACAACCCTATAAGCCAGGTTAGAACTGCCCCTGTGGGTTTCTGAGACTGTAAATCTTTATAGGAATAGGAAAACTTCATCTTTCTTCCACAGAGCAGCTGGTAGATTTGAACTGCATACCTCAAGATAAGCAGCCTGAGGAGTAACCCTGTGTCACCATGTTTGTCAGGGGTCTTGAATTGATTTTTCAGTGAAACGTGAATTAAATAATTTATATGCTCCCCACTCCTCAGCTCCTCTGCCTTCTGCTTCACTGTGCTGCGGGGTCTCTCCCACCCCCACCCCCCAAACCCCGCTCTCCTGCCTCAGACTGCCGCGAGTGTGGTGGGGTGTAGTCCTGTGTTCAGTTAACTATAACACCTGAAATTTCTATCCTTTATAAAAACCCACTTGGATCACACACACACAAAATTATATGCAATATACACAGAGAACAGAAAAAAGAAAAAAGGGCAGAGGGAAAAGGGTGTTTTTAGTAAAATATAAAGAACCCATTTGAGACTTATCATTTGATTTTAGAGATGTCCTAATGTCCAAAGAGTCAATGATACGGTGCAGACTCACTGTACTCCAGGCCTGGTTTCTAACACAATAGTCTTCCCAGATCGTTTCACCAACTTTTAAAATTTAGACTGAATATACAGTTAGAATTTTTGCACTAATATTGGGAAGTTGCAGGATAAGGGGAAAATCTATTTTAAAACATTTAACAAATCAGAAGGAAATATAGTTAGACTTAACAATGAGATAAATTATCACTATAGTCCTTTGACACTACTCTTAGGTTGACAAATACATTTCCCTATTTCAAACTCAAGGTAACTAATATAACTGTCAGGAGAATATTCAGATTCCCATTAGGATGTAAAGAAAATAACCTCTCCATGATCTTCCACTTGAATCATTCTTTACTATCTACAAGTGCATTCACACTTGTTAGCTGTCATCCAGTCAGTTCTGACCCACAGGCACCCTAGTACAACAGTATGAAACACTGACTGGTACTAACCCATCCTCACAATTGCTGTTTGAACTCGCTGTCAAACCATCTCATTGAGTGCATTCCTCTTTTTCAGTGACCCTTTAACTTTACCAAGTAGGGCATTCTTCACTGGGAGTGGCCCTTCTCATGAGAAGATGCTCAAAGTACATGAGACAAAGTACTCTGTCTTCCTAGCCTTACTTCTAAGCATATTCTGGTCATATTTATTCAAGATAGATTTGTTCATTCTGGTAGTCCATGGTATATTCAATATTCTTTACCAGCACTGCAATTCAAAGGCATTGATTCTCCTTTGATTTTCCATGCATTGTCAGTTTTCACAAGCATATGAGGTAACTGAAAATATCATGGCTTGGATCAGATGCACCTTAGCCCATGTGTTCATCTGGGTAGACTAGAGAAAGAAATCTAGGGAGACTCATGTGTATAAGAAAGAACTTTATATACAAGAGAAATTGAATATTAAGGAAACATCACAGCCCACTCAAGATCAAGTCCGTAAGTCTGGTATTAGCCCATATGTCCGATACCAATCTATAGATTCCTCTTCAGACTCATGCAATGATGCCAAATGTAGGAAAATCACAGGCTAGTGGGTGGAAAGTCTTGTGGATCGAGTGGTGGTGTCAGCATCTGAGCGCTGGCTACGGTCTCTACATGGCTCCTTCAGCTCCAGCTTCATGTGTCTTGTCTACAGGAATGTCTCGCAGGGAGTCTGTGTGTGTCCGTCCACCCTCCAGCGAGCTATTTATCTCCTAAGTGCCTACAAATGAGGCCATCAAGCTGTGACCCATTTGACAGGCTAAACCCCACCCCATCACTCTTAAGTCTCAAATTGACAACAGATTTTTATGTAACTACCGCAGCCTACAGAGTGATATATGCTTTTAAAGAGATCTTTTGCAAATTTCCCAATGCAATCTCATGTTTGACTGTTGCTTTCATGATGTTAATTGTGGATCCAAGTAAAATGAAGTACTTTTATTTATCATGATGTTGCTTACTGGCCCAGCTGTGAACATTTTTGTGCTTTCTCTTTGCTTTCAGCATGCAAGGCGACACATCATTTGCATATTGCAACTTTTAATAAGCTTCCTCCAATTCTGATGCTAAGTTATGTCATAGAGTCTAACTTCTTAAAGGCTACAACCCTGACACATACCTTTCCTAATTTTACACTACCTAGTCCTCCCTTGTTCTGTTTGAATGAAACCAAGCCTCTTGGTTTACGTGCAAGTTTCACAGGAGCACAATTAAGTGTTTGGAAATGCATTTGTATTTCTTGGCATTCTTGACAATATTATTAGTAACTTGTTAGGATCTATAGTCTAATGTTGCTGCATAGTCAATGTAACGTAAGTAAACACCTTTCTGGTATTCTCTGCTTTTAGCCAACAGCTTAATTTGATTCAGAATGGAAAACTCTGCCTGCCTTGGACACAGATAAAGATAGTGTTCTTCATTCCATGGGTATGGCCATTCTTAGTGAGGGAATATACTAGCTAGTTAGGTGAACCCCGAGAGGTTGGTGTCCTCCAATTTGTTAGTGGGAGAAGTGGCTTTCTTAATATATTACCTATATTTAGATTTAAAACTAAAATAAAAATAAAATTTTTAAAAATTATTTTGCGCTTATCACCAACATTTTATCTAACATCTAGTTTAAATCTCTGTGCCAACATTGCTGAAACTCAAGGAAAATTTCCTAAATTGCCAAAGAAAAAGGTGTCAGAGAGAAAGAGTACTAGGACAGGTAGTGATCGAGGAAGAAAAGTTGACCGGTGTATAGGGTAACATTTGCATTCGAGGAAAAATGTTTAAAATATGTGTATCTTCACTTGCAAATAAATTCTCCTTTTGCCTGCTTTGAAAATTCAATGCCATTTTAACTTCATTAATAAATTGTACCAATGAAGAAGTTTCAATGATAATCAGTAAATAAGACTGAATTTACAGCTGAAATATAAATGAAGAACAAGATGGGCACTTTTGTGTTTTGTCCAACATATAAAAGATTTTCCCTAAACAGACAAATTCATTTTGATACATAGTGTACAAAAAAACTCATAATGACGTTCTTTAGTAAACTTCATAAAATGTCCCAAGGCAGACTGTCCATAAATAACAAAGTTCCTGGCTAAAACAGAGCAGAAGAAAAAAGTAGATGTCCTTTGGTAAAATCAACACGAATTTGCATTAACAAAAACTATTCATTCTCTGGTTGCTCTGCTTAATGTTTTGTCATTGCCAAAGCAGCCATCAAGAGTATTTGTGTTGGAAGACCTGGTGAACTACTTCAGAAAATTAGCCCTTGAAAACTGCTTAGTGCATGTTTTGTTGATACAAATGGGGATGCTTTTTGTCAGAACGGACTCATGAATTAAAGAGTTGACTCAAATGGCAACTGATGTTAACAAATGAACAAACAGATCCAATTATTGTGTGAATGAACCCTGTCCAACAATTGTCGCCACCCTCTGCATTTCCAAGGAAATGTCCTAAAGCTCTTGCATACTCATTCTTTTGTATCTTTAATTCTCCTAAGTGGGTATTTCAGACTTATTAAAAAACACTGCACATTTTGGTAAGTACAGAATACCTTTTTGTCCTACACGCAAATTTGTTAATACTGGCAGCTCTTGTGATCTCACATTCCAACTATAATGTCTACAGTAAATGCTGATCAAGTGTAGCTGCAAAAACTTTGTAGAAAAATTCTATGATCTTTTCATTCTTTTTTTCTATGAACTTTTGGAAAACCTCTTGTATTGGGAAACAGGGTCAAACCACCACCCATTTTATGCCTCAAGGACCCCCTGCAGCTAGACTAGAGGACCATTTTCTGTTGCCAACTATCAAGATTGGTATGGATTAAAAGCAGTGAGGTGACGTGCCCTTAAAAGAAATAGGCAGTAGTATGTATTTAGAGGTGAGAATAGGCACTTGTTAAACAAACTTACAACAAAAGTTGTTTCCCTTCAGTATTACTGTCCACGGTTAGTTAAAAGCATGCAAGTTAAAATTTTGATTCTAAATGTTTAAAATGCACATGCATTCTCAAGGAACACGAACACACATATGACATATGTTGTCCAGAAGAGAAAGGAGCCATTGCTGGTGCTGTGGATTAAGTGTTAAAGACTGCTAACTCAAAGGTTCAAGGTTCTAATCTACCAGTAGCTCTATAGAAGGATGAGGCAGTCTGCTTCCTAAAGAATTTAGTCTAGAAAATTCTCTGAAGTAGTCCTACTGTCCAAAAGGGCCACTGTAAGTTAGAATCAACTCCGCCACATGGTTTTAAAATAAAGAGGAAAAGAAAATAACCAAAGAAAGAACCCAAGAATTTGAGTCTTTAAGGGAGTTCAAATATCTGATGGACAGCCCACCTTAAACAGCTTACCACTAGGAAAGAGGAACAGTAGTAGCTACCCTGTGTTCAGGAGCAAGTCCCAGAATCTCTTGTCCGGGACAAGACAAAAAGACATCTACTCTGTCTTCTGTCTTTTAAATGACTTTTTGCTTTCTTCATATACGATATTCTTGATGCCGTCTCACAACTCACCAGGACACTAATGTTCAATGTGCCAAAATTTTGTTTTTAATCCCTTTATTGGGGGCTCTTAACAGCTCTTATAACATTCCATACATCAATTCTATCAAGCATATTTGTACATGTTGTGACTATCATTTCCAAAACATTTTATTTCTACTTGAGCTCTTGGTATAAGCTCCCCCCCACCTCAACCACTCTCATCAATCTTTGATCAATTATATATACTTATATATTATTATTTCGTATCTTACACTGTCCGTTGTTTCCCTTCACCAACATTTCTGTTTTTCATCCCCTTGGGGAGAGGCTATATATCCACCCTTGTGATGGGTTTCCCCCTTTTCCCCTTTCCTGACCATCCCCCTAACCTTATATCACCACTCCCACTACAGTTCCTGAGGGGTTTATCTGTTCTAAAGTCTGCGTGTGTTGAGAGCTCTTATCTGTCCCAATATGTCTAGCCAGATTTATAAGGTAGAACTGGGTCATGGTGAGGGGGTGGGGAGGGGGTGAGGGGAGAGAGAAAGCATTCAGGAAACAGAGGAATGATGTGTGATTCATAGGTCCTATACTATACCTTGGTTGAATTGTCCCTTCCTTATAACCCTTCTGTAGGGGGATATTCAATTGTCTATAGATGGGCTTTGGGTCTCCACTCCAACCACCCTGATCCTGTCGACACCTCATTGTCATACAGGCTGGCATGCTTCTTCCACGTGAGCTATTTTGCTTCTCTGCTAGGTGGCTGACTGTTTAAGTTCAAGCCTTTACAACCCCAGACACTGCATCTTTCGATAGCCGGCACCATCTGCTTTTTTCACATTTGCTTATGCACCCATTCTGTTTTCAGTGATCGTGTCAGGAAGGTATCAGAGTGCCAGGTTATCAGAACAAAGTGTTCTTGTGGTTAAGTGTTGGCAGTGATCTGCATGGTCAGCAGTTTGAAACCATCAACAGTTTCTCGGGAGAAAGGGCTTTCTCCAGTAAATAGTCTTGCAAACCCACAGGGAGGTTGTTATGAGTCAGCATTCACTCAATGGCAGGGAGCTAAAAAAAATTTTTTATGGGAAGGTCTAGGTCCACCTAAGTCAATTAAGACTTAGCCCAATGATGTCTCCTTAAAGGTTTGACCTATTTCTAAGAGATGCTACGGAGAACTGGTTTCTCTCTGGCCCCACCCCTTCCTGCTTGTTTCCATCTTGTGCCTGGCTCCTGGGGCCTTTTGCCAATGTAGCACGTTGACCCTGGAGCAGTCAGCAACCTGCCATGTTCCTGCAGACCTTAGACCACCAATTCTTAACCTGTCAGTCATGACACCTTTGGGGGTGGAAAGACCCTTTCACAGGGGTCGCCTAATACATCCTGCATATCAGATATTTGCACTACGATTCATAACAGTAGCAAAATTAGTTACAAAGTTGTAACGAAAATAATTTTATGGTTGGGGGTCACCACAACATAAGGAACTGTGTTAAAGGATTGCGCATTAGGAAGGTTGAGAACCACTGCCTTAGATCCATGTGACTGTACCCAATGGCCTGTGATTTCCCCACTTTCCACTTTGCCTTCCTGCTGGGCCTTATTTTTTTATATTTAAATTTCTTTCTTGTACCTATGCTTATCTAAAAACCTAACCTAGTACACTGGCCTTATTTGCTGATGACACTGAACTTCTTCAGTGTCTCTTCTCACAGATACAGTCAATTTCACTTCTGTTATTCTATCTGGCAAAGTCCATGTGTAGAGCTACCACTTTTAAGGTTGTTGAAAACTGATGTGCAATGAAGGCATAGGTCATGTAACCTCCATCTTTGTTTCTATCAAGGCCCTATTTTCCAGTTATTGACCCTTCCCTCATTCTTCCAACTTTTGCAATCCAATCGCCAATCATTAATACATCTTGATTGTATGCTTGATCAATTTCAGATGGAAGAAGTTGGTAAATTCTTTCATTTCTTTGTCACTAGCTTTGTGGTTGGCACCTAGGGGTACTGGGAGCAGTACTGAAATGAAACCAGTTCAGCTGAGCAAATGCTACAACAGCAACTAACAATACCAGCTGTACCTTCTATACCTAGGTATTCTTTATTTTCCCTTCTCCCTACAGATTTTTTCATTTTTTTCTCTTTTCACATGAAAGTCTTCAAGCTCTCAACACCTAGAATATTTAAAAATGGTTGAAGGGTCCTTCCTGCTCTTAGGCAAGGCAGCTTGGGTGAGTGTTGGTGGAGGAAGCTTTACTTCTGTTATTGTTTATTATAGCTGTGTTTCAGACACTGCATTTTGGGCCTTTTAGAAGTACATTACCACTAAAACATGGTATCATAGTTCTCACTTTTCAATGAATCTGGAAAACAATTTATAATTGAGTTCTTGATCTTAGTCAAATACCACCAAACTCTTTCACAAGGGAAAAAAATCCTTTAATGACCTGTACATTTTATTTATTTACATCATTTTATTGGGGGCTCTTACAGCTTTTATGACAATCCATACATCCACTGTGTCAAGCACGACCTGTACATTTTAAAATACCACTGGTTACCAGCTGCTCTCCAAGGGATCACGAGAACGTCCATATGGAACAGAACTCAGAAGCACAGAAGAGGCCGGGCTTAGTGGGTGGTTATAGACTGCTGGGATCCCTGAGACTAAGGAATTCAGTCACTCTTCACTAAAATCACCTCTGTGGCTCAAGTTTCAGGCAAAAAAATCGGTTAAAAGAATAATCACCCATTTGAGATAAAAAGGGCAACAGAAGACCAGAAAGGTTGAGAACAAGTGGGGTAAATGATGTTACACTGGGGGGACTGCAGTCAAGGACATGAAACAAAATTGTTATGAATTTTTAAAGGGAAAATTGTCTGGCTCTTGCAAATCTGCATGCAATTCACAATAAAAAGTTACAAAAAAATTCCTAAGAAGCTGATCAGACAAACTGGTCTGATAGTGATTAGTTTAACCCCTAGATTGTGATCTTTCACTACCCTTCAAGCCCCAAGGATCACCTTTCAGCCAAATAATCCATCGTCATTGAGTCAGTTCCAATTCACAATGTCCCTAGATAGGGTTTCTGAGGTTGTACATCTTTACAGGATCAACTAGCCTCACCTTTTTCTTATGGAGTGGTTGGTGAGTTTGAACAACCCAACCAGGTAGTTTAATGCTTATCCAAACAACAGACAGGCATCAAGTGAACAATGACACCAAGGAAGATAGTACTCCTCAAGATCATGACACATACAAGGCCAACAAGGGCAGCATCTGCCCGGTAACAAAGCTAAGAGTAGAAAGGGGCAGAAAAGTGGGACTGACGGAAATGGAGAAGCTAGGAGAGTGGGAAGAGTGCTCTACTCCAACGAGGAGAGTGCGCCCAATGTTTATCATTTAACACTTACACTATTAGGTTACATTCAGCAATACCAGTGATGACAGTGCTTACAAAGAGACAATAAGCCACTCTACAATTTCTAAAAAGAGTGCACAGTAATACCCATATTGTAAAGAATATGTGAAGCTCCTTTTCCATAAAACTGATACCTACTTGGGCAGGGTCAAACCTTTTTATTCAATATTTGAGGAGAATTGCTGAGTGGTATATTTTTTGTTTCACACGGTGGCCATCAGGGATGGATGGTGATTACAAATTTTAAGCAATTAACAGATACAATGAATTGCCTACTGGAACCTTTAATTAAAAACACTTACCTCTTGTAAGGTATTAATATCTACTCCATCCCCTTGAATAACTCTAAGGTAAGGTGGCAGCAACTTGTAGCCCTTTGAGTTCTCTGTAACAGGGAACTTCTTACCTAAAATATCCAAAACCTACATGAAAAAAATAACAACCAATACAAAATTACTTTTCTTTGCCAGACAATCTTAAGGATATAAAAATTTCAACATCATTTTCAAACCTTGACAACATATAAGTTCTTTTAAATTTAGTCCCAACCTGTAGTAATTATGTTAGAAACATCCATGATAGTTCCTCTTATGTTGCTTTATGCCATTAAGTGGCTAAAAACACAAGGTTCTTTCCCTCAAGTTTTTCAAATTAAACAACTTAGGAGAAGTATATCCTTAATATTAAGGAGATTAAAACAATATAAATAATATTTCTAAAGTCTATATAAAGCTTCACTAACAAGCTTTGTGATTTATGTTTTTAATTTGAATTTATTTGATTTGTGGCCAAATGTTTGGTTTAATTCTGTCTGACATGACTCAAATGCAAATCCAATAAGTCACCAAGTTCAGAGAAACAAGTAAATAAAATTGGAATTGAATCACTTATAGTCAAAGATTTCTCTGAAGATCTCTGGTTCACGTAAAATGGCATCCATATTGAGTAAAAATGCATGACATTCTTTAGCACTGGAAAGTCGTGTAGCAGCTGAAACGCACCAACACAATTCAAAAGTCTTTGAAAGCTTAGTCAGGAATACACAGGACCTACTGAGCAGCCATACCTGCAAAGCCCCTAAATAACCACCCGTTCTTATATAAATTATCTACAAAAGAAAAAATTCTCTATCAATGACTCCATTTGTTCTTCTAGCTGGTCACTTACATTTTTACTATATTTAATAGTTAAAAAGTAGGGCCTATTATGTTTGGTTAGGACAATTCTATTAATATTTAAGATAAGGCAAGATATTCAGAATGATTTATCATCATTTGGATAGAAAAGTGCCTTATCAATTCTCCCCACCACCCTCCTTTCTTAGGGGGCAAGTAATTTATCATGTAACACTAACTAGGAAACTAATAAAAACTAATAGAACCTTTCTCTGCCCTGGAGGTGTAGTGGTTATGTATTGGACTTCAGTCCGAATTGTTAGCAGTTTGAAAACAGCAGTAGCTTCTCGGGAGAAAGACAGGACTTTCTACTCCCACAAACTGTTACAGTCTTAGAAATCCACAGGGGTCACTATGAGCCTGGATGACAGAATTTGGAGTTTGGTTCTCTTATCAATTATTGTGTGACTTTGGGCAAATTTATTTACTCTCTCTGGGTCACAACTTTAAAATATGGAGACTTGTGTAGACAGCTCTGAAATTAGTGCTGATGAGGCTGGCCTATAGGAATCTGGATAATCAAGTTACATGTTAAAATTTACCTTTAATACAGTGTCAAGAGGATTTCCAGAGTCAGGTCTGATTATTAGTGGTGCTTCTGTACTTCTTGATACTATTAAATGTCTTAGATCTTCACCCCATATTTTCTCACATGCATTATATATGTCATAGCTATCACTGACCACCGATACAGGCACTGATGAAAACTGTGTTACTATATGTTCAAACGCATCCTTTTCATGGTCTTTCCCCCAAGCTGTTATGGTACTAGAAAACAAAATGAAAACAGATTTACTTAGGAGATACACTGTTATAAATCATCTGTTATTATCTCATGCTTACTATATATAGTACACAATATCACAGAGCAGATGAATGTTAATGATTAAGTATCAAGGGTTGAGTTTTTGACCAAACTACACTTTAGTGAACTTGTATTTTACACTCTTAAGTAATCTTATGCTTTTTCAATAGTTATTAAATAACATTACTTTTAAGTCATATTCAATTTATTAGGAACTCTTTTATTCTGGTATTGCTTTTCTTTGGTTAAGTCAACATATTAGAAAGAATGAGCATAGACGCCCAATAATTTTGCAAGGCAATGCCAAGTACTCTGCCTTTCTTCAAATTTTCAAAACCAGAATCTTACACTTAGAAGTAATAACTTAGGCAATTATTTATACTATACTAGATATATATACATCTCTTTATCAAATGGCAAGTAACAAGTGGTCAATTACCTTGTAGAGTAAAACTGATATACCATTATAAAAGAGTAATACTTATGCCCAGAATAAGAATGCTCATATTAAGTTTGAACCAAACATAATTAGGCACATAAACATTATTATTATTTTTAATCATTTTATTGGGGGCTCATACAACTCTTATCATAATCCATACATACGGCAATTGTGTAAAACACACTTGTACATTAGTTGCCCTCATCATTCTCAAAACATTTGCGTTCCGCTTGGGCTCTCGGAATCAGCTCATTTTTTTCCTCCTCCCTATCCGCTTCCCACTCCATCATGAACCCTTGATAATTTATAAATTATTATTTTATTGTATCTTACACTGCCTGACGTCTCCCTTCACCCACTTTTCTGTTGTCCATCTCCCAGGTAGATGGTTATATGTAGATCCTTGTAATCAGTTCCCCCTTTTTATCCTCCCTACCCCTCCACCCTCCTGGTGTCAACACTCTCACCACTGGTCCTGAGGGGTTCATTTGTCCTGGATTCCCTGTGTTTCCAGTTCCTATCTGCACCACTGTACATCCTCTGGTCTAACCAGGTTTGTAAGGCAGAATTGGGATCATGATAGTGGGTGGGAGAAGGAAGCATTTAAGAACGAGAGGAAAGCATTTAAGAACGAGAGGAAAGTTGTGCGTTTCATCGATGGTACACTGCACCCTGAGTGACTTGTCTCCTCCCCACTACCCCTCTGCAAGGGATGTCCAGTTGTCTACAGATGGGCATTGGGTCCCCATCTCGTATTTCCCCCTCATTTACGATATGATTTTTTGTTCTTGGGTGCTTGATACCTGGTCCCTTCGACCCTTTGTGATCACACAGGCTGGTGTGCTTCTTCCATGTGGGCTTTGTTGCTTCT